CACGCTATGTTGCTCCTGGGAGACACCGACCAGAGCACATGGCTGCAGCAAAGAGGGTGTTGCGCTACTTGTGCAGTACGTCGGGCATGGGGCTAGTGCTTGGAGGGCGACGTTGAGTGGTCCTCACAGGTCACGCAGACGCTTCTTGGGCTGACGACCAGGCTACGCAGCGGTCATCACAGGGTTACACCTTCAGCCTTTGCTCCGGCTCTGTTTCGTGGCGGTCTACCCGCTCGTCTTCTGTTCTCGGCTCCAGCTGTGAGGTTGAGATCTACGCGGGGGCCATGGCTGCACAGGAGCTACGCTGGCTCACCTACCTGCTGACTGACATAGGAGAGCCGCCTCGTTCTCCTCCAGTTCTGTATGTAGACAACAAGGCCATGCTGGCCTTGTGTTGGGAGCACAGACTGGAGCACAGAACGAAGCACATTGCTCTCCGCTACTTCCTTGTTCGTGAGCTGCAGCAGCGTGGTCAGCTGCGCCTTGCTTACGTGGCCTCTGAGGCCAACACTGCTGATATCTTTACCAAGGCACTTATGCCTGGTGATCATCAGCGCTTCTGTACGATGCTTGGTCTTGTGCCTACTTTGCCTCACTTGCTCACTTCTTGACCTTGCTTGTACTGTGATCTTTCTATACCTGCACTTGCCTGTTTACCTTTATATATGATCTTGCATGTGAACGGGCCTTGTGGCCCTGCTCTTGTGCTCGGATTGTGTGGTGACGTTGTGATCCACCCTGAGCTTGCTTTGCTTTGCTTGACTGGTCTTTTGACCTCTTGTTCTCCCCCACTTTGCCTATGGGGGTGTGTCAAACTCATATCATATAGCTTGTCTAGGCTATAGTGGGGTAGACACTATGGGGTACAGTTTCCTAGGGTTTCCTACTTGTACCCAACCTTGTGCTAGTTCATCCACTCCTCATTTCTTTACACACGGGCCTATCGTCGCACAGGTTCATGCCAATAAATGCACAAACAAGTGGCACGTGCTATGTAGTTGTACGAATGAGCTCAGAATAATTTCTATGGCTAGGGAACTAGATAAACTAGGGAATTGTGTGAAGAAATTGTTTAGTCTAAGAACTATGCGGAAGCGATTAAACTCAGCTCACAAGCATAAGTTGGGCAACACTTAACATCACTTGTAACCCCTAGAGTGGGACACCAAGTCACCTCATAGCCAAGGGCGTAGAAAAAAAATGAGTGGTTATGCTCAATGTAGCTTGTAGAGTGAGTTTTCTTGTCAAACGCAAATACAATCACACATATAAGAGAGGGCCTAGGCACACAAAGGAAACACAAGGCGGTTGTTGAACTGCTCTTGCATTTGGCTTGATTTGCCACTATAGAATAACTGTCTTCAAACTACACCGCTGCCAGATTCTCCTGCTAACTCCCCTCATGAACATTCATGATCACTTCTGTACAAATCATGAACGCTTGTGCTGGTTTACCGTATTTTTCAGTTACAAACGGACTTTACCGTTTTGTACCTCTGTTGAAATGATGACGCTAAGCAGCACGACTTTCTGGCAAATTTTACTGCACACCAAGTGTGCGCGACATCCCGATAGTCAACTGTAGAATCCCGAGTGCCCCACGTGCCCCTCATCAGGACCGAGATATTTCTCGGTCGTGCAGGACAAAACGATTGCTGACTCGATCGTACGTTGTCCTACGTGTAACAGAGCGATCATGTAGCTCCGTTCTGTTTCGATCGTGCGCGCTGTGCGGGATCGAAACAGTGACGCCAGACGCATGGGCCCTGCACGGCCACACACGCATGTCAGGACCCCACGTGCAGGTCCTCACTTCGCGCATTTTTTAGTTGACCAGCGTGAAGTGGTCAACGGAACTGGTCAAGCAATTGAGCCCCACACCAAACTCACTCGACATTCACAACTGACACTCATGAAAAAACTCAACATTCATGAAAGCGCATGTTCGTCCATGAGAAAACATGAATGTATATGAGCTGACATAAACGAACCTGACTCCTCATGATCCGTCCTGACTGGTCATGATCCCACAACAAAAGTGCATGAAACGAAATGCGAAAACGAATGCACACAGAACAGACACAAGATGTGTAACGTCAGGCGGGTGGTTGCAATGCAAAAATAGTATTTTGCACCCAAAAAACTCCCCCTCAAGCAATCGCCTACTTGCACTCCCTTTGCTTGAGCCTAGTTAAGGCTCATGTCGCAGAGCTTAACGCAGCGCCAGTGGGGTTCTTCAGCCAGTCGCTTCATGAGAAAATCTGCCGAATGTTGCTGCGACTTAACATAGAGGGGCTAGATGGATCCCCTCTGCACCTCCTTGCGCAGCCAATGCCATTTGATCTGCATGTGCTTGGTGAGCCCATGCAGCAGACCGTTATTGGACATTGAAATGGCACTGGAGTTGTCACAAAACAGCGATGTGGCAGTCTGCCCTATCTTCTCCAGCAGCTTCCTCAACCAAATCAGCTCCTTGGCTGCACGGTACATTGACATGTACTCTGCTTCAGCTGATGAACCCGCCGTTTCCACCTGTTTCTTTTACCTCCAGCTCATGGCCCCACCAGCAATCACGCACACATATCCTCCCACTGAGGACATGTCCTCCTTTTCTGAAGCACAGGTTGCATCAGCAAACCCTATGAGGAATAGCTCCCTCTCTACGAGGTGCTCCCCCTTCTCCTTGAGAACTTCTGCTCCCTTCTGCTTCATCTAAGCCACGACTGAGTATTGAACTGTAACAGTGGGGTATGAGTTCAGATACTCGATGATGCGGTCTGCTGCATCCACCTGTTTCTCGGTGGCATTTTGCACCACCTTGGCCAGCTGCCCCACAGCAAAGGAGACGTCCACCTGGTGTGCACTTCTGCATAGAGCAAGCTCCCCACCATGGACTGAACATGAGCCTGCTTTCGCTGATCCACTCCTTCGTTCTCACCACCTTTGATGAGTTTAAATCTGGATGGAAGAGGTGTGGTGATCTTCCTTCCGACCTCTATCTCATACTTGCTCCCCATGCCATTGATGTACTTCTCCTGGTGCAGCTTCACACATTCATTGCTGACATCCCTTTCGATGTGCATTCCCAGGTAAAAGTTCGCCTCCCCCAGGGTCTTGCGCTTAAAGTTTTGCATCAGTTTCTGCTGCACCTTCATCACCTCCTGCTTGCTGCTGCCGAACAGGAGGGTGTCGTACACGTACACAAGGATTATGACGAGGCTCTCCTTCTCCCCCATGCAGAAAAGGCTCTCGTCACATGCACCCGCCTTGAATCCTATCTCCTCTAATATCGAAGACAGTTTCTTGTACCAGCAGCGTGGAGCTTGTTTGAGGCCATAAATGGCCTTCGTCAGCCTGCACACATGCCTGGTACCATCCTCATAACCTGGCGGCTGCGATATGAACACCTCCACATCTATCATGATAAGAAACGAGGAAAATGAGAATGACAAAGGGAAAGCTGGGTACAAGTACAAACCCTAGAAATATGTTGTACCCCATATGTGCTACCCCACTATAGCCTACATAAGCTAAGTCTTATAAGCCTGACACACCCCCATAGGCAAAGTGGGGGAGAACAAGGGGTCACAAGACCAGTCAAGCAAAGCAAAGCAAGCTCAGGGTGGATCACAACGTCACCACACAGTCCAAGCACAAGAGACAAGGCCACAAGGCCACTTGACATGCAAGATCATATTTAGAAAGGTAAACAAGCAAGTGCAGGTATAGAAAGATCATAGTACAAGTAAGGTCAAGAAGTGAGGCCAAGTAGGCACAAGACCTAGCATCGTACAGAAGCGCTGATGATCACAAGGCGGAAGCGCCTTGGTAAAGATATCAGGAGTGTTGGCCTCAGTGGCCACGTAAGCAAGGCGTAGCTGACCACGCTGCTGCAGCTCACGAACAAGGAAATAGCGAAGAGCAATGTGCTTCGTTCTGTGCTCCAGTCTGTGCTCCCGACACAAGGCCAGCATGGCCTTGTTGTCTACGTACAGAACTGGAGGAGAACGAGGCGGCTCTCCTAGGTCAGTCAGCAGGTAGGTGAGCCAGCGTAGCTCCTGTGCAGCCATGGCCCCCGCGTAGATCTCAGCCTCACAGCTGGAGGTGAGAACAGAAGACGAGCGGGTAGACCGCCACGAAATAGAGCCGGAGCCAAGGCTGAAGGTGTAACCCTGTGACGACCGCTGCGTAGCCTGGTCGTCAGCCCAAAAAGCGTCTGCGTGACCTGTGAGGACCACTCGACGTCGCGCTCCAAGCACTAGCCCCATGCTTGCCGTACTGCACAAGTAGCGCAACACCCTCTTCGCTGCAGCCATGTGCTCTGGTCGGTGTCTCCCAAGAGCAACATAGCGTGCCAAGATGCTAAGAGGGTATGCAAGGTCAGGTCGTGTGCAGGTCATCAGGTACATGAGGCAGCCAACAAGCTCTGGGTACGGGCCACTCGGCTCTACGGACTCATCCAAAGGCAGAGCTGAGAGCGAGTGGCGAGTAGATAGAGGAGTGGCCTGAGGCGAGGAGTACGTGAAGTCGAAGCACTAAAGGACCTGCTGCACCATGTGTGACTGAGTCAGGGTAATGGTGCGTTGTGCTCTGTCCCGGGTGATCTGCAAGCCAAGGTAGCTGCACAGTTCACCCAAGTCTGTGCACGTGTGTCTCTTTTGCAGCTCGGACTTCACGTGGGTGAGTCCAGCAGTGTCAGCAGTGGCAAAGACCAAGTCGTCGACGTACACGAAGATGTAGAACGGCGGCAAAGAGGTGTCGGTGTGCAGAAACAGCGACGGGTCAGCAGAAGAAGGAGCAAACCCAAGAGCCGCAAGTGTAGTGCTGAGTGTGTCGTGCCACTCACGTGGCGCCTGGCGGAGAACGTAGACTAGCCGCCGGAGGCTCCACTAGGTACCAGGAGGAAACGACCCAGTGAAGCCAGGTGGGCGGCGCAGCCAGATCTCCTCGTGCAGGCTGCCCTGCAGGAAAGCTGTGCTGAAGTCAAGAGAGTGAAGCTCCTAGTCACGCTGAGCGGCTATGTGCAGCAGCACCCGAAGAGTGGTCACCTTCTGGGTGGGAGAGAAGGTCTGAAAGTAGTTAACTCCCTGCCGCTGACTGAAGCCTCGAGCCACGTAACGCGCCTTGAAGACAGGCGGAGAACCCGGCGGCCGCTTCACCCTGAAAATCCACATGCCACTGACAATGTTCGCCCCAGATGGGGGAACCTCGTCGACGTAGGTGCCTGTGGACTTCGAGGAAGCCATCTCTACGTCCATGGCTGACTGCCACTGTGAGGAGTAGGGACCCTCGATCGCCTCAGCGTACGATCGAGAAGTCGGGATGTCTGGTGCATCCGGGTCTCCCTCAGGGGCAATCAGCGTGGACACCAGATGAGTCAAAGCAACAGCAAAATACTGGAACTCCTCCTGCCTGTCCTCAAGGACGTCCATGCTAAGAGCACACTCACCCCCGACGGACGGAGGACAGACAGACTTAGACTCAGCAACAAGGCTAGCGGCGGAGTCTAGACGACAGCGATCAGCAAAGTCGACGAGCTCAGCAACCAAGGCAGACGCAGCAGTGGACTCAAAGGAAGGGTCACTGACAACAGTAGCCAGGAGACGCGTGACAGTAGGACTGGCAGCACGAAGAGAGTCAGACTCCGGGCCAGGAAGGACATGAAGAGAGGACTCTGGATGAGACGGCAACGGGACACGCAGAGGAGCAGAGGAAGGACGCAGGTGTGTGCCTGGGACCGCAGGAGGACGCGGACGCGGAGCACGATGACTAGTGAGAGCAGCACGAACAGGCGACGCAGGACGAGAAGCAGGCTCACGACGCTCAGCAAGACCTCCAGTAGGACCAGTGTAGGGAGAGGGAGCAGGCAGGGGGGAGGCAGGCTGTAACTGTGACTGCGACTGGACAGTCTGTGGACACTCTAAGGGAGGAGCAGCACCAGGAGAGGGCGGGAGACCAAGAACCTGCGCAAAAAGGGGAACGAAGTACGGCCTTGGCCGCGAAGCGCCTCCAGAACCAGCAGGGACAGAACCAGTACCCCCAGCGGCAGCACCAGCACCAATAGCACCTCCCGCCAACTCCAGCACCCTCAAAAGCACCAGCGCCTGTAGCACCACCAGCGCCAACACCCCCCGCAGCTCCAGCTCCAGTAGCTCCAGCAGCTCCAGCTCCAGCAGCACCAACTCCAGCAGGACCGTCAGCTCCGGGACCGCCAGTAGCTCCAACAGGACAACCAGCAGAACTAACTCCAACAGCACCCCCAGTCCCGGCAGCTCCAGTACTACCAGTACGAGCACCTCCAGGTCGAGCAGCAACAGTAGAAACTCCAGCTCCAGTAGCACGGCTCCAGCGCCGGGCAAACCACTCGCGCAGCTCCTGCGGAGAGAGTGGCTCCCGCCTCGACGAAGCACCGCAAGAGGCCACACGAGCAGACCCAGCACCCCCAGGCTCCGCACCCCCGGGCTCAGCACCTCCAGACTCAGCACCCCCAGACTCAGCACCCCCAGGCTCGGCACCCCTAGACTCAGCACCCCCAGGCTCAGCACCCTAAGACTCAGCACCCCCAGGCTCAGCACCCCCAGGCGCATTACCTCCAGACCCGGCACCCGCAGGCACAGCACCTCTAGCAGCACCAGAGTCAACAGCTACCTCGACAAGCTCGATTGCGTCTACCTGGGACACACCTGACGGGGCAGGACCCTGAGGGGGGAGGGGGTCTACTAGGGGAGGACCTGGCGCAAGGAAGAGCGGCGGCGGGGGGAGGGGCGCAGTGCGGTAGGGGAAGAGACGGTAGTAAGGCACCGACTCGTTAAAGGTGACGTCTTGGGAGGACAGAACACGGCGCGAGGTGGGGTGGTGAAACTGCCAACCAGGCGCGTCAGGGGGGAAGCCAAGGAAGACGCAGGGAACAGCATGGGGGGACAGCTTGTCCGCAGACAAGTCGCGGACAAACGCCCAAGATCCCCAGACCCGAAAGGCAGTCGCATCGCCAACCTTCCCGGTCCACCGCAGGGTGGGGGAGGTCTCTCGTAAGGAGACGCGGGGCTGAAGGTTGAGCTGATGCGCCGCGTACTGAACCGCAAACGGCCAATGAAAATGGGGGGCTGCCGCATGGATCATGGACGTACGAGCGACGTCCATGACCATGCCAATGCGGCGCTCAGCAATGCCATTTTGCTGTGGAGAGGCCGGAAGCGTGAAGGTCTGGCAAATGCCCTGTGCTCGACAGAAGGCTCCCAGAGAAGCAGAGGAAAACTCCCCGCCTCTGTCAGAGTGCAGACGCAGAACAGGTAAGTTCGATCCGAAACTCTCCTTGAGCTAGAGACGAGCTGCATGGATCCTGTCGATCAACACCTTAGTGACGTCGCCCTTGCTGCGCAAGGGGAAGACCGTGGTGTAACGCTCGTGCCCCTGGCCACGGACGCGGGCAGGGCCCCACACGTCCATGTGAAGAGTTTGCAACGGAGCCTCTGTCGGAGGAAATTCGGAGGAGTGAGGGGCGGCGCGCTGTCGCCCCTTGACGCAGGGGACGCAGGTAGGGGCAGGCCCCGGAGGTAGGGGAGGGAGAGACCGGGGGAGATCAGAGACAAGGACACGGGAGGCCATGCCTCGGAGACGAGGTAGAGAGGGGTGACCAAGGCGGTGGTGCCAAAGGAGAGTCTGGTGAGATAAGAGACGACACGAGCAGGGAGCAGGCACAGGACTAGACCTGGACGCTACAGCAAACACCTGACTCGACGCAGCTACCTGACCAGACTCAGCAGCCGGAGGAGACTCAGTAGTGAGGGTGTACAGGCTCGACCCCGGCCGACGGGTGAACGTGGCCAAGTGTCGGCCTGTCCGAGCACACGTGCAGTGGGTCACCCGCTAACTCGAAGGAGTGAACTGGTCAACCCCCCTATCCTGTAGATCAGCTCCACTCACCAAGTTTGTAGAGAACGAGGGGAGGTAGAGACCTGACAGGGTGCCGGAGGGAGCTGCCGGACACGGTAAGACAGTGAAGAAGCAAGAAAGGACAGGGCCCCCAGAGGGGTCCGCCAGGGAGGCTGCAACCTGCCGACTAAGCGGCGTACGCGTTGTGCGGTCTCGAAAGAAGGAGCGGGAAGCACCCGAGTCAAGGGTGAAGGTGTGTAAGGCCTGAGCCGACGTAGTACCTGAGAGAGCGGACTCACCAGCACCTGGGGCAGCAGACGCACTAGCACCTAGAGCAGCAGCCTCACCAGTACCTAAAGCAGCAGTCTCAATGCCCGGGTCAGGCGGAACACACAGGTAATAGTCCCCTCAACACTATCAGAGACAGCATACATGACAGCAAGAATATCATCAAATTCAAGATCAAAGATAGCAACCCCCGCCCTAGACAGCTCTCCCCAGCGAGGGATCTCAGAGGTCTCAAGGAACTGGTGACGCCACGCGTCTGTCAGGCGGCCGAAGCAGCGCTGGGTGGAGTGCGGGCCCCCGCACTGCTCACCAGCGCGGTCGCCGGTACGGAGAACATAGGTGCAAGGACTAGTACCCCCACCGCGCTGACGCGCAGCGTACCACTCACAAAGCTGCTGAGGGGACAGGGTCTCACGACTGTGCTGCTGCTGCTGGCGCGGACCACCACTGGATCCACTCCTCAGGGCAGAGCCGCGACCAGGTCCACTGCTGCCGCCGCCGCCCCCGCCACCTCCGCTGCCTCCGCCACCTCCGCCGCCTCCACCACCTCCGCCGCCCCCGCTCCCTCCGCCACCGCCGCCGCCTCCTCCGCCTCCACTGCTGCCACCAACACCTACACCCCCGCCACCATTCCCACCACCACCCCCACCCTCTCCACTACCTCCACCACCACCTCCACCGCCCCCGCCATCCCCTCCAGCGCCCTTGCCCCCCTTGCCCTTGCCGGTGCGGCGTCTCCCGCTCGGGGCAGACGTAGCGCCGACCGACTCGAAACCAACGAGGTCGGCCGCAACAGCAGAAGCAACAGAGGGCAAGAGGGGGGAGGGGGAACACCCCTCAAAGACAGGGGTGCGAGGGTCACCACGAGAGGCTCCTACAACAACTATGCTCTTCTTTGCTGCTAGGAGGCGCTCCTCGAGGAGGTCGACGGTAAGTGTGGTGGGGCAAACTAAGAGGAAGTGGTCCCTGACTAAGCGAAGGGAGTCAGGGAGCCGGGTGACTATGTAGTAGAGGGTCATGTACATGGGGGGGGGGGTTCTTGGCACAAAACTTAGCACGAAGCGCAGCGCGGTAGCGAATGTCACTAGTGCGTAGGTGAGTGATGAGGTCAGCAACTGTGGGAAAGGCAGCAGTGTCAGGGAAGAGGTACGGCAGCATGAGGCGGCTAAGAGCAGCAGAGGCAGGGGAGGAGTAGCGTGCAACTACAGCGTCGTACAAGGTCTTAGCACTCTTGTACTGGCTAAAGTGTGCACGCTCAGCGGTCGGTAAGTGGCGACGCACAGCAAGGCGAGCAGCAGCATCGCGTGTGGTCCACTGTGAGCGAATAGTGCTGTCAGCAGTAGCAGGCGGGGCAGGAGAGACACCAGAGGTGAGATCGAACAGAGAGAGTCCGTCTACCCTATGGCACTGGAGATACAGCTGGAGGTCATCGACCCAGACCTCAAAGTCAACGGCACGGCCCTCAGCATCAAAGGTAAGGACACTTGGGGTAGCCATGACTGCAGTGGCCTAGTAGGGAGAGATCTCACCAGTCCGAGTAAGTAGGGTCGGAGCGCACCGGTAGGAACAGCAGCGGCTTGACAGTAGGGCGGCTCGGCGGCTCGGCTGCTGGGCGGCCCGGCTGCTGGGCGGCTCGGCTGCTGGGTGACTCGGCTGCTGGGCGGCTCGGCGGCTCGGCTGCTCGGCAGCTCGGCTGCTGGGCGGCTCGGCTGCTGGGTGGCTCGGCTGCTAGGCGGCTCGGCGGCTCGGCTGCTGGGCGGCTCGGCTGCTGGGCGGCTCGGCGGTGACGGGGTCGGTAGGGGAGGCGACGTGGCCGCTCGGGGAGGTGACGGGGTCGCCAAGGGCGGCGACGGGGCCTCCAGAGGAGGGCGACGGGGCCGCAGGTGACCGCGACGGGGCCGCAGGTGGCGGCGACGGGGCCGCAGGTGGCGGCGGCGGGGCCGCAGGTGGCGGCGACGGGGTCGCAGAGGGGCCGCAGAGGGGCTGTAAGGGGCCCAGACGGGGCTGCAGAGGGGTCGCAAGGGGCCTAGACGGGGTCGGCGACGGGGCCGTAAGGGGCCGTAAGGGCGCCGCGAGGGGCGGGAAGGGGGGCCGCGCGAGGGCCGTAAGGGCGGCGTGACGTGCCGAAAGGGGCCGCTAAGGGCAGCGCAAGGGGCCGCCGGGCGGTGCGAGGGGCCGTAAGGGGCCGTAAGGGCAGCGCAAGGGGCCGTAAGGGGCCGTAAGGGCAGCGCGAGGGGGGGGGGGGGCGACGGGCGGCGCACGGGGCCGTAAGGCGCCGTAACGGCGGCGCGAGGGGCCGTAGAGGGCGGCGCGAGGGGCCGCAAGGGCGGCGAAGGGGCCGTGAGAGGGGCCGCTAAAGGTGACGCGAAGGGGCCGTGAGAGGGCGCGACGGTAGGGAGGGCACACAGAGCGCGACTCGGGCAGGAGCGAAGCGCGCTCCGGGCAGGAAAAAAATATCGTGGTGGCCCCTAGGAAGCGTTCCCACTAGGGAACCTGCTCGATACCATGATAAGAAACGAGGAAAATGAGAATGACTAAGGGAAAGTTGGGTACAAGTACAAACCCTAGAAATGTGTTGTACCCCATATGTGCTACCCTACTATAGCCTACATAGGCTAAGTCATATAAGCCTGACATATCAGCCCATAGAGAAAAGCTGTGGTGATATCCATCTGAACTATCACCCACCCGCATACAGCTCCACCGGTGAGGAGAACACACAATGTTGGCGTCTTCGCGGTTGCAGCAAAGGTCTTCTTGAAATCCCCCCTTTCTTTCTGTTGGTAACCCGTTGCCACCAGACTGCTCTTGTAAACTGACACGAATCCTTTCTTGTCAGATTAAATCCTAGGAATCCAGCCATAGTTAATGGCTTTCTTCCCCTCTGGCAGTGGCACCAGCTCACATGTCCCGTTTTCCATTTGGCTGTTATATTTTGCATCTCTTGACGACAGCCATGTCAACGGGAGTTGTGGTTGGCCCCGTCCTCGTTTAGGCGGAGCCGGCCTCGTGGTCAGGTGTACGGGGAGCAGCCAACCTGTAGCAGTGGGTGAGCAGGACGACGAGGGTGGTCGACATGCGTGGGGGCCACTGCACTGGCGCCGACTTCTGGGCACTGGCTTTGGGGTGGTCGACTTGGTGGTCAACCTGACCTGGTGGTTGACGAAGGAGGGGCCTACGTCGATCTCGACAAGGGAGACAAGGGATGTCGAGCAGAAGGGCGTCGAGGAGCGGGACGCCGAGCAGCAGGACGTCGAGAAGCAGGGCGCCGGGGTCGATGGCGCCGACCTTGGGTGGCCGGGCCCCGAAGTGGTCGACGAGGGGACGCCGACCAGAGAAGACGCCGACCTGGTTGCCTTGTCGACCGAGGTACCTGGGCGACGGACTTCTGCGGTAGCATGCGAAGGTCGCCGGGGGTGGTCCTGCGAAGTCGACCTCGGAATTGGTATCTTGAGGTCGACGTGGCTGGTGGGCGCAGTCGCTGGCGTGGAGTCGACCTAGGCGTCTGCGTTGTTCTCAAAACAAGGAGTGGTGCACCAACCAGCTGCATGCACCTGCGAAGCAGGTGCTTCATTGTCCTGCGGGTGCAACGCTGTGCAGCCGACTAACTGCAGCGTTGGCACTCCGTGGACTTGCAACGTTGGCAAGCCGCGACTTTGATCTGCTGGAGCGCGATCGACCACGTCGTGCTAGCTCGTGGTCGACCATGCTGCGCTGGAAGTCAACCAGCAGCTTTGCTAGGTCTGATGTGGTCTTGCATGCCAATTTTGTTGCAATCATTCTGAACCATTGTTCTTAACTTTTGCTAGTGAAATTCTTGCAGTTTCGCCTTGTGAACGCACAAGTGCTAGAGAACGACTAGGGAACGAACGCAGAGATCACACGAGCACCCGTGCCTAGCCCGTAGTCTAGCTCCCGTTGCTATAGTTATCTCCGCCTCCGGCGATGAGGGGAGAAGTGGGGAGCCACCTGTGGCGCTTGTTATAGTCACAGTAGACTCCAATGTGCCTAAAACGAAAGATAGAGTGCACAGTCGGATTTCTGAACAGCGGCTTCAAACGTTCATAGCGTTCTGGTCACAGCTTTAAATGACTTGATTCAACTTGGATCTAGAGCGTCTTATTGTTGCCTACACTAGGCTATTTAGATCGCACAATTTGACTTAGTATTGACGACACAGCGTCGGTTTGAACGAACGGCACTATGGCAACCACTATAGTCTTAGAACACAAGATACGAAGAGTTAGGGAGAGTTACGAGTTGGGAATGACTCCCAGCTCCTACAAACCCCAAGAGCCGAGATACAGTGATGTGGAACAGTTCCACACTGTCCCCAACCATGAAGGGTCTCGAAACTACCCTTCACTAGGGCCTACACCAAGTGAAGTGTTACACTACACAAAGTAATGTAACTATCTTCAATATCTTGGGGTGTACCCTTTTTTCGCGGGCTTCGCGATTTCTTGAATGTTGACACCAGGGCTCGGGTTCTTCATCACAAACTCATCCTTGAGTTCTTGATGGGTCTGCTGCACACACCTGCGACACGCCGAACGTTCGACAAGCGACAAAATAGAAACCGCGCACGACAAAATAGAAACCACGCGGGACACATAAAATGACCACGTTACACGGGACTAACGATAATTCGCTATTGACATGACACACACACTTGACATCATGACCCATCATTCACACATTATTATAAGCATGAAATATATATTTATTTGATGCACTCATTCCATTCCATGCACACACGCATGCACGCACACGGACAACAAGCCGAGTGCAAACCGTAGGGTTGCACCAACAGCGCTGGCCAAGAGCATCGCCGGTGGCCGACGTGACGTCCAGCCAGTCGGCATGGGAGTGAAGTCGACATTGGCAGGGGAGGAGCGGGCCGAGAAAGTGCAGCCGACTTTGGTGAAGTCGGCAAAGGGGACAGCGACGAGGCAGCAGCCGACAGGGGAGCAGGGAGCAGTGAAGCCGACCAAGGAGCAGTCGGCAACTGGGCAGCCGACTACATAGGAGCCGACCTCAGAGGAGAAGTCGGCAGGGAAGTCGACCGAGGTGCAGCAAGACGACGAGGGCAGCGAAGACGGTGGAAAAGGAGGGGGCGTAGAGGACTCCACTGACAGCGATGTGGTGGAGGTTCCACCTGGACCACGGACGTCAGACCGACTTCGGAGGCCACCATACTTCTTCGTCCCTGCTGCCTTCACCACGGTGTTGTCAAACACTATATATATGTGTTATTGCTGTGTAGGCTATAGTGGGTTAGCCTATAGGGGGTACACAATTAGGGTTTCATACTTGTACTGCAATGTTGTCTAGTTCATTCACTTCTTGTTTCTGACATGGTATTAAGAGCTTAGGTTCTAGACCTAAGGGCCCACCGTTCCACTAGAGGTGCCCTCGTGCGCCCTTTTTTTTAGCGCCCTCGTGCGCCTTTCCCCTAGTGCGCCCTCGTGCGCTCTCCTCTCACGCTGCCCGTGTGCAGCCCGCTAGCAGCCTGAGCGCGGCCCCGCCGTTTTAGCCCGTGTAGGAAAACCGCCGCCTAGGGCGGCCTGATTCTTCTTACGAGCCCCAGCACGCCTTCGCCCTTAGGCCCCTGCTAGCTCCTAGGCCGACGCGCGACTCACAGCCGCCCGCCTGGAGGTCGCAGCCAGCGCGCCGCGACAATCGCGCGTTGGCTGCTGCAGCGCGCAACCCACAGCTGCCGCTAGAACGCAGCCGTGGCATGCGCGCCGCTGCACCCTAGGCGCCGCCGCGCACCTAGCCTAGGCCCGCCATCGCGCCGCCTTAGCTGGCAGACCCGCGTCGCCCGAGCCGCGGCGCCCGAGTCGCGCCGCCCGAGTCGCGCCGCCCTAACGAGCCGCGCCGCCCTGACTGAGCCGCGCCGCCCTACTTGCTGCAACCGCTCCTCTTGCTCCTACTGCTACTACTACTCTTGCTCCTGCCAGTATGGCCAGTCCCACTGTTCTCACCTTTGACGCCGAGGGCCGCCCAATTAAGTTCGATGTCTGGCTTGATGACCTCCACCTGTTCCTCCAGATCACTGCCAAGGACGATGTCTCACTGTACGACCACACGTCAACCGCTGCTCGCGCACCTCCTGCTACTGCTGACAGTACTGCTCGCTCCCAGTGGCAGACTCGTGACGCTCACGCCCGCCTAGCCGTTCGCAATCACCCGCCGGTAGATGAGCGCGAGCACTGCGGCCAGCATAAGACCGCTAAGGAGCTGTACGACGCAGTAGTCGCGCGCTACTCCTCCCCTGCCACTGCTGCTATAGGTCGTCTCTCACTGTCCTACCTCTTCCCCGACCTGTCCGCCTTTACCACTGTAGCTGACCTCATCACCCACCTCCGTACCAGTGACCTCCGCTACCGTGCCGCACTCCCCCCAGACTTGCGGTCCTTGCGACCTCCACCACTGCCCTCCCTTGTCCTGCTGTTCCGTCTGGCACGCTCTCGGGCCTCTACCTCCCCTCGTTC